CACACACCACACAGTACAACAAACCCATTTCCTCGACAACCTCAACAGCAAACGTTGACCCCCAGCGTTTGCGCAAACACATCATCATCACACAGACACATCTGTCTCCAAAAGAAATCACCACAATCGCCACCCAACCCATCTTCGCACTAGATTGACAACAACAACCCATCCCTAAGCATGAAACTCTTCGAAACCCTCGCGCTCTTCGCGCTCGCCACACAAATCACCTCAAGCACCTCAATACCCGACCCTGCCCCCGCAGACCTCCTCTCCCCCTCCCACGCCCTCGCCCGGCGCAAAGGTGGCGGCGGCCGCGGTGGCTCCTCCTCAGGCGGCTCCTCCACCGGAGGCGGCTCCCGCGGCGGCAGCTCATCACGCACATCCTCCAGCTCCAACGCCGGCGGGGCTACACGTTCTGGCTCCGGCCCCGCGCGCAGTTTCGGCAGCGGGCGATACTACGGCGGGGGTGCAGCAGTGCCATATAGCGCCGGTGCACGCACGCCACGAGGACTGGTCGCGGGCGCGCTGATTGCGCCGCTAGTGCTTGTTAGTCTTATGCCTGGCTTATGGCTATACAACTGCTATCCATATTATTACAACAACCCCTATCGGTTCTACAACGCGTCTGCAAATGACAACGACGACGACGACAATAACACCAACAAAAGGAGGCTCATCATCCGTCAGACAACCCAACAACCAACCGGACAAAACCAATCCCTCCCCGTCCTCTGCCTCTGCCAGGAATCCTTTGTCTGCTCTTGCGACGAAAACGAGGACCAGCAGTATCTCGCTGACCTTATCGGCAATGGCTCTTACGCCGCCCTTAACAAGAGCCTGGTTACCGTGTCTGATATTAATGGCACGCGCACGCTGGTGCTCAATGGGACTTTGCCCAAGGGGACGACGGCGCCGGGAGGCGAGGATGATGTGGAGGGCGGAGTAGGCAGGATAACTGGTGCTGGGTGGGTGGGCTGGGTAGGCGTTGCAGTGGGCGTGACTTGGGGTGTGTTGATGTAGACTTTTTGCTAGTGCGGCATCGGTCATGGAAGGGTTTTTTCTTTTACCCGGTTCTTCATGTTTTCTTTGCGGGTTGGGTCATAGCTCATGAACCGGAATTGGAGTTTGGGACTGGACGATTGGGGGACTGGTCTGGGATAGCTTATACCCCTTACTCTCCTGCTATGGTAGTACTCTTTTCTTTCTCGCTCCGTCTTTTTCTCGCAGCTTTCTTACTCGTTGTTGGTGTCAATCCCTCTAGCGTCCAGAAATGCGTGGCGAGTGCTTACCCCCCTATATCAGGGTACATAAACTTTTTGGTATGAGTGGGATTGCGGCTTGTGTTGTGGAATGCGGCATAGTGTAATGTGCGAAGGGATGGATGGGATGCTATGTGACATTATTAGATTCCCTAGAGATATCTCTTGAAGTTGAAGCCTGAGGTGACGTGATGTGATGTAATGTGATGTGGTGTGTGCAGATGAAACTGTATACATTTATCAAAGAAACGTACCAGAACCACTAAGCAGATTGACCTATGGACTTGAACTACACTGCCTCATCCTTATCATGCCCAACGGACCAAAGCGCAATCATCTCCATCGAAATCCGAAAAGCCGACAGATGACCGGTCTCTCTTCTCCCACTAGGATCCCACGCGTCAATCCCGCAAAGGCGTCGCCAGAATCCCATCTTACCGCCACCCCGGAGCCCCAAAGACCACACCCAGCCGTGCCACCCGCGCGCGTGTGGAAACAAGCGGCTCTGGTGTCCAGCCGTCTCGACCCAAGATATAGCACCGACCGCACGCCCAGACCGCAAGTTCCCAGTCCAGATACACTCAATGTGCGAAGCGGCGTATACTGACAACGAACGACGAGAGCGGTGAGCCGTGGTACAAGACGCGAATCGCTGATCGGCCAAGTCGTGCAGATACAAAAGCACAGGCGTTAGGGTCGGTATGCTTTCTTTGGGACCAGATGTTGCTGAGATTCCGGTCAGTGGATATGGGGCGATGTGTAAGTAGATCGGGGTTGTGGGGTTGTTCTGTTTTTGCTTTCTACGTCCCCCTCCACCCCTCCTCCCCACTTCATGCCTTGTGCTACGGTGATGCAAAAAGCCAAGACGCGGCTCTGTTGTGGGGAATAAGGGTTGTTATGCAGGTGAGACGACAAGGATGTGTGGGGGGAGCGGTGTGGTCTACATATTACCGTTTAGTTGTGTGCGATATACATTATGGGTGTAGGGACGATGCGTGAGATGCGGGGGTGGGAAGGGTGGTGTGGTGAGTTGTGTGGAAAGGGCCATGGGATGGGTGTTGGTTGGTTCCCTGAGTGGGTTGTTTCTGACTGTTTTTTTGGTGACCGGTGGGGTGGGGGTTCGGCTTGCTAGGTTGAAATGATTGAGTTTATGGCTTGTGATGCTGTGCAATCCTGGCTACTTTCTTACTCTCTGGATATGGAGTTGCCGCCATTTGCATCGCAGTCCTCATGGTTGGTTTGCAGTCACTCCTGTGAGACCTCTGGAGTTTCCATTGCCCACTGGTATAAGATCTGGCCGCATATGGATGGTGGTGCTGGTGGTGGTGTTGGCACATCGTGAATGATTGTGAACATTGCTGTCGTGCTCAGCGCATAAATGTGATGTGTTACCTATCACCAGATGAAGAGCAGGCTGTCGAGAGCGATCGTTGGTTGCCTATCGCCTGCGAAGCCGCGGAGTTGAGATGTCGTCAAATAACAATGTATAGTCTCATGTAGAAATCATTGTTACTCTGGAATTAACGAGAAGACATGATGATGTTGTTTTAATCCCTGCAGCAAAGGTACGCCTGCAATCGGCCTTAGACGGCCAAGGAGCGGAGAGAGGGGCCAAGTGATCCCAGGAGAGGCGACAGAGGTAAGATGATCCAAGTATGAAACAACGTCGTTACCTTGAAATAAATGCACCATCTGTGCTCTCGGTTGGGACTCTTGCACGAGTAAACGAAGAGGCATAGTTGCTCATTGAAGACAACAGAGGAGGCACACGGGGGTCGTGCGTAGGGCTGTGTGAGACATACCGCTTCAATCCACGTGGGTCCAGAGGATGGGAATATGGATAGGGCTGCATGATTGTGCAACCTGACAGGTAAGCTCAGGCTCATGCAGCTAAGCCCCCAGCAACATGTGTGTACACCACCTCCAGGGCACCGAGCTTTCGGGAGTCAATGGCCGGGTCGTAGGCTCAATAGACGTAAATATTGGATCTCGGCAGATACTATCTCCCGAATCGCGTCTTTGTCATGGGATCATGTAGCGGTGATGGCCGATTGACTGAGGTCAGTCAGGACCGGTAGGTAATGCTGGGCGGTGTGTTGCAGGCATCAATGATCCAAGACTTTGCTTATCAGCCAAAGCAGCAGCTTGCTTAATGTCAACATATGTCAAGCTTCCATTGAGCTGGGTCATAGAGAGAAGCGGCAACAACAGCGAAGTCTGGCGTGTTGTACCGCATCTGTGAGCCTGCATTTGACCAGATACTGAGAAGGCCAGGCAGCACTCAGCTGTTGGGAGCCTTGATGGTAAGGCAATGAGATCGGCGAGGGCCAGGGGCCTCGAAGGAGCTTGCTGGATGAATGACTCTCGAGGTCATTTATGTTTTTGTGAGGTTGTCAAAAGACACTGCTTCCTCCAAGACAACGAGCTGAGAGGGTGAAGACGCTTGGGGTGCGCACAGGGGAAGTGCCAAATATACTGACCACACTTTCCCAAAACAGAAGTCTAAGCGAACGTCGACTTGCGATCTCTCGGGCTTTAGGTCTGCCTTCAGCATAGCTTCATGCTTGCTATTCCCACCCGTTCCTCGCTTCGCATCGACATCCGCGATTACATACTAATCGGCTTGCGGCGCGCCAGCCGCTGCCGTAGAAAGCGTCGTCCCATGCGGAAGCGAACTGGAGCCCCCAAGATCCCAGCCTGAGTAATCTACGTCAGAAGTCACTGCCACCCGTACACCTCCACGCAAGCCCTTTGCTATTCAGAGAGTGGCTGATTCGTTACAGCTGGGGGCGTCAGATGCGACTAGACTCGCCCATATACATAGGCAGTGTGACTCGAACTGTGCAGATGCCCAGCGTGCATGGCTATGGGTAATTCGACATTCCCGTGGCTTGCCTAGGTGGGCCCCCGTCCAGTTGATTGACAAGGGTGTTGCGATTCTGGGCAAACGCATTTGGGGCTTATGTTCTACTGCTACCGTTATGCACTCTGGCTTCTCCCATTCGAACGTATTACATGCGACTGGCCAATGACATGTCGAAACATACGAGTGCCCACGACGGAAGAGCCTTCAAGAAGCGAACTACGACCCTTGTAACGGTCAAGAGACATCATTCTGTCTACATGTCAACTAGCTTACAAGATGGCTGTGCTCACTTTCGTCGTCTGTCCCTTCTTAGCAGCATCCGGCTGACTGCACTTGCCTTCTATGCCCAGTCTCCGCTGCCTGATGAACCAGCAGAGGCTCGATTCTCTGCCTATGATATGACCCACACAAGCCAGGGCTTTCTACATCACTTC